CAGGCATCGGCTGAGGGCTGAGTTAAAGGAGAGGTGACGTGCTGGCTTATGGCACGCAGACAGCTGACACAGGACGCTGAGTCTTTCCAGGATGCATCTGACAGTCTGCCAGCTGAAGATAAGCACGAGGAAGACAGAGAGCCGGTTATGGACACAAACTCATGCATTCCTGAGCTGAACTGCTGACACTCTGAATCTGACTCCCTGGCTTCTTGACCCTTAGACTGGACTCCGACTTTCTGACCTCTGTATTCCTGACCCACGGCTTGTGTTTGGACTACGCTCTTTGGACGCCGGATCTCAGCAGCTTCTGACCTTGCAGCTGCTGTAATCTGATCCCTGGCCAAGCTAGCACATTAAGGAAGAAAGCTCCTCCAGCTATATTGGACTACAGCTCCCATTAACCTGAGCCATCAGGAAAGTAGAGGGCTGGGTTGGATTGCGACTCTGGGATAGGTGTCAATATGGAGTGTCTGGCCAATCAGAACTGAAACAGGCAGCATCAGCTGGGCCTGATTTTGTGCCAGCCAGTCACTGATAATGGACCATTTAAGAAGGTCTGGGAACAGCTGGATTTGGGTGGTTGCACCCTCCTTTAGAGGCAAGATGGTGCTTTGCAGAAGAGGACTCTATGGACTTTGGGGTGTGGTGTTGCTGGGTGAGTCCAAGAAGGGGTTGTGATCACAGCTGTTGTCTTCCAGAGATGAGATTTCTTGACTTCTCAGCAAGTTCTGAACTTAACTGGGAGATGCCTATTGGTGTGTCCCAGTTCTTTGTTATTTGTGTATTATATAATTTTGGACCTAGTTTTTCTGTAAATGGGGACTTTGGGGGGCAAACCAAAAGCTTGATGTAGATCAGTAGGATTTTGTGTTAGACAGCCACCAGGATCTGTAGTTGTATCTCTCTATTCTGTCTAATTAGAGGAGATCTTGGTTTCTTGAAACTGCAATAGTAAAATGGAAACAATGGTTGGCAGGTGCTATCTTTGATGAAAACAAGATGGGTTGTGCTGGGATCTTGCCCCACTTTTGGGGTTATTGGTGCTTTTGAGGAAACACCATGGCACCCATCGGCTGCTTTGACCCTTTCTCTCAAGCCCATGATCACACATCTCCCTTCCCTTCAAGTCTCCCCAACCACCTTTCCAGGGAGTGTTTTTCATTTCCACCATGGCTGCTGACCTTTCTTTCTGGCTTCTGACTCCCTGAAGAGAAGCGGAGCAGCTGCAGGTCTGTTTTTTCACCACTTAAGGTCATTTGTAGAGAAATCAGGTGGGGCTGGAGACCTTAATTGGTTGGGTTTGCCAATTAAGTAGAAAAAATTAACCATATTTAAAAAAACAAAAACCAGCTATTGTCAGAGAACTTCTTATCAGGGCTAGAAACCTGGTCCTCTCTAGATACTTGGAGTACCAAGCTGGATTTACAAATGGTGGCTTGGTTTGCTAGCTTAAAAATGGGGCTTATAAAACCACAGTGGCTGGGTCTACCTAAGTCCAATCAAAAGGAAAACCAGATTGCACTCTGTTCTGGTCCCATCTTCTAGCTAGCCTTGTTCTGAACTACAACAGTTTCCATCCCCTTCTGATACACAGAGCGGATGTGACCTGGATGTGTTAGAAGAATCGATTTAGTTGGGTTACTGGATGACCCATCTTCTGGATTTTCACAATCCACTCCACCGTAAACTGACCAAAATGGGATGGATTTATACAAGTTAAGCCTCCCCCCCCCAGCTAAAGTTAGTAGTAGTGATTTGAATGATATTCACCTTTTTTCTGGGAGCTCACATTTTGAATGCAAGTCCCCTTCTGTACATCTGCCCAACAATTACTCACTTGGGAAGGACAGGCTGACAAAGTCTACAATGAATATTGGACAAGTAATGCTTGCACAGAAGGGGAACTGCTAATTACTATTGTAAGAAACCTTTGCCAAAATAATTTCACCATTGAAAGTCATCACTGGGGGTATCCTGGGAGTCAAAATGGGGGCCACACTGGTGTGATCAAAGCACCCCCCTTTTTAATGTGCATCATCATCCGTGTGTGGGGCTTTAAGCTCACTGCGGGATGCTCCAGTAAGTAAAGGGGTATGACCTGGTTTGGTTGAAGGAAGCTTTGCAAGTTTTGACACTTTATCCTCCCTTACTCCAGAGGGTAAGAGTAGAACAAATGGGATGAAACTTCAAGGATGTAAATTCGGATTGGGCATTCAGAAGAACTTCTTGACAGTAAGAGTTGTCAATCAATGGACAGGTTTTTGCATAGAGTGGTTTCTTCCCCTTCACTGGAGGCTTTCAAACAGAGGCTTGATGGTCCTCTATTCAAATGGTGTAGGGCAGTGTTTCTCAACCTGGGCCATTCAAAGATGTGTGGACTTCAACTCCCAGAATTCCCCAGCCA